ACCCCACTGGGACAGCATATGACACAAGGTCGGTTATTTATTGTGGATTCTCCGAGCCCGTGGGCTCGGCCCAAAAATATGCCTATTGAACCCGTATAAATGTTTCTCTTTTAGTCTTATTCTCTCATACTCATTAACCACTTGTGTCTTTATTGCCTTGAATGGGGTGAAATGATAAAAAAAAATAATAATTCCATCAGTAAGAACATTTGATTTTTTTTTGTTTTTTTTTTTGTTTTCTACTAAATGCCATAACACCGTAGGATGTAGGTGATCTGTTGTGTTTTCTTTTAATAATCTGTTGAATGTTTTCAGTGCTGTCTTCACGAAGTTGTACAGGATTGCTGTTAAAGATTTTGTACAATTTGGTTGATTTAAGGAAGTGTTCGTCAATGCGTTTGAACAATTTGTTACCCTATGGAATTCAAACTTAATTAGGTTTATCAAACACAATAAGATATCGTTCAAAATTGTCATCGTCTACAGTTACCAGTGTTTGATATACCTAGTCTCATCCATTTACAATTGAATTGGCTAGATGTAACCGTAAGTTCTATGCTGACAGTTTCTTTTCTTGTATGTGGAACTCACTTCCGGTTCCATGTTTTCCAGCTAACTTTGATCTTCAATAATCTAAATGCAATGCCAATCACTATTTACTCTCTCCTTGAATCCTCTTCTTTTATTGTTCTAGATCCTTAATAATGTTTCTCGCTTTTTCTTGTTCTTTCACACTCAGTAACCCCATGTATCTTAGTGGCTTTACTGCCTTGCTTATGGGTGATATGATTAAAACAATCTGGTTTGGTTCTCCGGCTATAAATCTTGATATTCTAGATCAAATCCTAAGAGGTTTCTGTCATGTTATCTGTCCAGACCTGGCATCTCGAATTCAGTCACTTTCCAACCGCCGTTTCCCGCTGTCTTTTCTATAAATATTTTCAATGGTAATTGTTCTACTCACCTCTTCTCCTTGGTACCTTGAACGCATTTAATTTAAACGTACTAATAGATTCGTCGTTTTACTGTTGAATTTTCTAGATGTAACCTTAAGTTATATTCTAAAGAATTCTTTTCTCGCACTTCTCACCTGTTGAACTCTCTCCCGATTTCTTTCTTCCTGCCACCTACAATCTTCAAAAATCTAAATGCAGCGTCAATCTTCATCTTCTGTCTTTCTGAACTCTGTTATTTTATTGTCCTTTCGCCTTATTGATGTCTTCTCATTCCCTTCTACTCGAAGTAATCACATGAGTTTTAGTAGCAAGATCGCTTTGTTTGAAGTAAAATGATTAAAAAAAACGTGAAAACAAAATCATGAGTGGCTAATAGCTTCTCTTCATTGTCCTTTTGAAATGAAATATAAATTAACATAGCTTTTCTTTTCTGGTTCCATGAGTGTACAACAAACATACCCTCAAATAAAATATTTACATTGTATAGTAAAAATGATGTTGTCTATGCCTGTTGCTTTTTTTTTCTCTATATATGCAGGTCATAAAAACACATCAAGAATTCCATGTTCGCTTCAGACTGACTTTTATTAATTCTATTCTCTTGATTGTAAAATATGTTAATGTTATTTCGGCTTTACTCTTTGCACTGTCTCAGGTCGTGCCTCTACGTGTTTCCATGCGCCTCCAAACACTGACTCTATAAATATTTTCAAAACAAATGAGCAATTTGAACGAATTTTGAAGGTAAAATACTCAAAATGATGCCAATGTAAACTAAGGTTTTGGTATTTAAAACTTTAACCAGCATTTGATTTTTAACTAATTTTAATATTTTAATTTTCTTTTATCAATTCACCCCAAGCAAGAGGATAATGCCACTAAAACACAAAGAATTAGTGGGAGTGAAAATGAAAGAAAAAACTTTAGAAGGAACAGGAACCACAATTCTAAACAGGGAACAAGGGATAAACCTCTACTCCTGTTCACAATACCGAGAGGTGGGTGTGAATAATATGATATAATACTAAAATGTCGGGTGAAACACGTTTTTAAATCCCCTGATTTACTTTTAAAATGTGATGCAGGATAAGTTTTTGTTAAAACTAAAACATAATTTAGTATGAAAATACGAGATTGGCCAATTTTTGCTTTTCCCTAAAAATATTCATTCAATATTTTTTTTTTAAATACGAGGCAGATTAAAGTCTTTAACATTAAATCGCTGATTTAATTTAAAATAGTAGCATTTAGACTATTTTAACCTTAAGTCTTCGTTTCGATTGATTAATTTTTAATATTTATTGCAAGGGCGTGAGGTGCGCAGAAGAGTAATACGCATTTTAATTTTAGCTGTTTTCATATTTCCAAGTTTGATGCATAATTCGTCTCAATTAAAAATAGATATTACTTTCGTGTCTTAAAAATTAATAAAAAATTGAACGAATAGGTGACTTTTACCTACAAGAATAAATATCTACACCATACAAATTTTATTTTCGAATGATATCTACATAATAAGGCTTATTATAACATATATATATATA